GCTACTTTTCAACTCAATTCCCTGAGTACACCAGATCTGAGGCAAGGATCAGGAACATTATTCCAAGCTAAAGGCATGGAGAAGTAAATAACAGTTAAAATTGAGAGAGAAGATCGGTAGCCTGTGGCAATTCTGGTGGCACATCAAGCTGTACTACAACATGCTTCTGTGTATCCCTTAGATATCAGAAGTGGGTTTAATTCTCTTCTTGTTTCTCATACATTATTTGATAAGGCAAGGAAGAATGAAATACATTTTGTATATAACATTTCAGGGAAAAAATTGGACCAAAAAAGTTTTTCTTAGAAGGAAAATTCAATTATTTGGCAACTTCATTTATGTGATATAATTTATTTCCTGCTGATGCTGACTAAATGAAGTATTTGTTAGTACATTACCAATGAACTGTTATGGTAATTTTTTGTCACTTAAATTTCATTTTGTTAGGCAAAACCATACAGAGGTTAATTACCTGGGTTTGTAAATTTGGTCCACTAGTTACAAGAAGTTTGTTGGCTTCCTCTCTGTGGAATCTTTAGACCTGACCAGCCTATTTGTCTCTCAGCCAGTTTAATTGGGAGCCCAACTCCTAATGATGGCAGCCTGGGTAGCTTGACCCACCCACCACACTGGAGAAGAGGAAGCTAACTGTGTGTAAAGTGAGTTTGGGTTTGGATGAGAAGGTCTTGACTCTTTATTCTGCATTTAACTCTTCCATTATTTTATACAGTAGTTCTAAAATTGTTTAAGTTATTGAATATCAGCAAATAAAATTTCATCTTCTCTAATGCGTCGTGACAGTGTGGATGTGGCCTGGGTTCTTGAAGGGCATGTTAGCCAGCATTTGGTAGATCCTAGAAAACTAGAAAGGTATCAAATTGGGCGGGGGGGGGTAGCTTTTATGGACTGTATGTCATTGGAAGGCTAAATTTTGAGAAATTTCACCAGGGTAGCTGTTAGAGTAGAGGACTTGGTGTCAGGAAGACCTGAGTTCATGTCCTGCCTTGGACATTCCCTAGCTGTATGACCCTATGCAAGTCCCTTTAAACTCTCTCTGTCTCAGTTTCCTCTTCTGTAAAATGAAGATAATAATATCACTTCACACGCATGTTGTGAAGATCAAATGAATTAATACATGTAAAGTATTTTGAAAACCTTAAAGTGCCATGTAAATATTAGCTATTATTACCAAAGGGTAGATACCAGATGATGACTTTTTTTGTCCATAGCAATTCAATTAAATATCTACTGTGTGGAAAGTACTGTGCTAGGCTTTAGAGACATAAGGATAATTACTGCAATAACTTCCTGATTAGGCTTGCTTTCAGTTTCTCCATTTCATCCTTAACACAACTCTCAAATATTCCTAAAGCACAAGTTCTACCTTGTCACACCCCTACTTAGAAAGCTCCAGTAAGAGCTTGGAAAGCTATTCTAGATGTTAACCATTTTTTGTTTGTCATGGATCCCTTTGGCAATCTGATGACTCCTATGGACCCCTTCTCAGAATGTTTTAAATGCATAAAACAGAATCCATGGGATTACAAAGGAAACCAATTATATTGTAATACAGTTATCAAGTTCATGGACCCCAAATAAAGAACCGCAACCTGGGGTAAGATGGAAACTTCAGAGCAAGAAGGGACTTCAGAAGCTAGTCCAGCCCCCTCATTTAGGGTAGACTGAAGAGAGGGGAGATTCAGTGATTTGTCTGAAGTCCCACAAGTATTAGGTGGCAGAAGCAGGTTGAATTCTGGTCCTCAGACTCTAAATCCAGTGCTCTTTTTGCCAGCCCAGTCACTTCTGTCTGCCTCCCTTTACCATACAGCTCCAGCTGACCTTTCTAGGCTTATTAGTTCCCATGACTTTGGTTTCATGTATTCTGCCTTCCAGGCAGACTGGCTGTGTTGTTGTTCCCTGAACATAACATTATCTCTTGCCCCTTTGGCCTTGTACCAAATCGTACTGCACCAGGCCTGTCTGCCTTCAGTCTTCTTGAACCTGTAACTTCCTTCAAAGCTTAGTTCATGTCCTGCTCCTACAGGAATGCTATCTAGATCCAGTTGTTAGTGTTAACCCTCCCTCCAAAAGAAATTACTTTGTATCACTACATACGTGTGTGTGTGTGTGTGTGTGTGTGTGTGTGTGTACATACATATGCCTATATATTTTCATCTTTATCTGTGCCCATGATTACCCCCATTGGAATATAAGTTCCTGCAAGGCATGGACTTTTATTTTTTGGCTTTTGTATCTCCAGCACCTAGCACAGTGCCTGACAAGAAGTTAAATAAATGCTTATCAAGTGAAGCAGACTGTGCTCTCAAGAAGTTTAAAGGCAAATGGAGTGAAAGGCACACACAAATAACTAGCATACAAGGGGAAATGTAATAAATGCAAGAAAAGGCCTCAGGAAAACTGGTCATCTACACCAGTGGGGGTCAAACTCAAATGGAAGTGAGGACTATTCCATACAGAAGGATTCCTGGAGGGCCACGTATTGGCTTAGTTTTAAAATGTAATGGTATCTATATTTTATTGTATTTTTTATTTCATTAAATATTTCCCAATTATGTTTTAATCTGGTTCTGCTAGGTCTCCTATGGGTGTGGGTGTTTGACACCTCTGCCCTTAAAAGTACAGAGAGTTGGAGTCGGCTTTGGGAGTACTCACATGAGTGGATGATTCCTATATTTTGAAGTGCATTGACTTGTTAGAATATTAGATATGCTTTATCCTGATTTCTGGTTTATTGACAGTTGGCAGTGGTTTCTAAAGACTCTAATGAATCAGAGTGGCATTTTAGTCCACAAGAAATAGCTCTCCTTTTTGGATCAGTTATCTCATGTGTAAAATGAAAGAGTTAGATGATCTCCAAAATCCTCTAGGTCTAATTAATATCCTCTCAGAATTTGAGTGCCAGGAACGTGTAGTTTGAGTAGGTTACCACTAGATGGTGGTGTTGCTCATTTGGGTAGCCTTAGGTCAGCAGTTATTTCTTTGGAATCATGATTTGAGATGTAACCCAGAGGTTACATCATATACAACCAAGGAGAAAGTCCTAGAATTTTAGGCCTGGGTGAAATTTGAGAGATTATCAAATTTGTAATCCTGGTGTTCTAGTTTAATTTACAGTTCTTTTTGATGACAATTCTCTGCTTGTAGGACCATATCTACTTTGAGTATGAAGTGGCTAGTTTCTATTTTTGACTGCTATTTTCTCTTCATTGATGATACTTAGGGTATCTAGGATTCACTTATTACTGGTGCTTAGCTATAAATGTCTCTGCCACTGATCAATCAGTACTTCAAAATGATAGAATGGCCATTGTCTCATCTTGCTCTCATATTTTATTTTCTGTACCAATCAAGATAGGGCTATAAAGTAAAAGATCAGTTTTGTTTCTTCTGGTGCATGTCTCCCAAATTTTTCTCTCTGATGATGACTTTTATAAAGCCTTTCCTGTCCCCAGCTCCCCTTACTCCCCTAACTCATGCCCTCCCTCCTGAAACTACCTTATATTGATTTTGTATACACAGGCATACCTCATTTTATTGCACTTTGCTCTATTGCATTTTTGCAAATGTTGCAGTTTTTACAAGTTGAAGGTTTGTGGCAACCTTGTATCAGGCAAGTCAATCAGTGCCATTTTTGCAACAGTATGTACTTACGCGTCACATTTTGGTAATTCTCACAATATTTATAACTTTTTCATTATTATATTTGTTATAGTGATCTGTGATCAGTGATCTCTGATGTTACTATTGTTTTGGGGCACCACTAACTGCACCCATATAAGACAGTGAACTTAATAGATAAACGTGTGTGTTCTGACTGCCTCACTGACCAACCCTTCCCCATCTTTCTTCCTTTCCTTGGGCCTCCCAATTCCCAGAGATACAACAATATTGAAATTAGGCCAATTAATAACCCTGCAGTGGGGTCCAAGTATAGGCACCCAAGCACCCCATCACATCCATACCAGTCCCTTTCTCCAATTTTTTTCTCCTCATGTGAATTATTTTACTTTGGGTATTTGGAATTTTATTCTTTAGAATCCATGGGATCCTACCTATCCTTCCTCTGAACCCTTTTGAAATATGTCTTCTACAAATCTAGGGTAGATGTAGGGGGAGAGAGTGTTGTGGAGGGAGATTAGATAATTGATTGGTGTGTTCCTGGAGGACAAAGATCAAATTGTTGACTTACCTTGAAAAGAGCTCTGGATTTGTAGTCAGAATATCCAAGTTCCAGTCTTAGCTCAGTTACCCTTTAGAGCTGTTGTGATTGATGCTAGGCAAATCAACACTTCTCTGGGTCTCAATTTCTTCATCTATAAAATGAGGGGATGAGATTAGACTTGAGGCCATTAAACTACTATGGATTTATCATCCCCCCTTTTTGCATATCGAAGGAACTAAGAATGATTTTTACATTTTAAAATAAAATTTTATTGTGTGTTTTTTTTTTTAAAGTTCTTAGCATGAAGGCTGTGCAAAAAAACAGGTGGCTCTTGGATTGTAGCTTGGCAAACCTGGCCTATCACAGAATCATAGATTTAAAGTGGAGGCCAAGGAGTCCAATTCCCTTCATCTTGCAGACAGGGCATTATGCCTCAAGTGATGGGCCACTAACAATGTAGTAGTGTGCCTATCCCTCCACAACCCACCCAACGCTGAGTGTTGCCGTCTTTTGGTCCTCTTTGCCATCCCTTTCACTTTTAATCTACGATTCTATGAGATTACATGCTTTTTGTACAGGTAAGAGGGTACAATTGCACTAATACTTTGGGGACACCCTGACCCTAAGAGCTGGGCGGTGGGGAGCAAATTACAGGCTTAGTTGAGACTGCAACCTCGACCCTTCCCCCACTAGGGGGCGGAGATTTTCCTGTTGGAAACTTAAGGGGAAGATGGGGGCGGGGAGAGAGAAGAGGATTTAAAAAAAACCGAAACCACGTACGTGTCCTCGTGACCCGGAAGCAAACTACTTTGCTCATTTCCCCGTCCCCTTACTTCCGCCACCCCTCTCTCAGGATAGAGCTTATTGGTCCACCTTCTAGCTTCCGTTGCTGCCTTCGCCGCCGCCGCCGCCGCCGCCATCACCATGATTCAGTTTTTGGTGAGTGCCGGCTTCGCGCTGCCTCTTCTGCTTCCACCCTGGCGTCGGGGAAAGGGCTGGGAAGGGAGGGGGTGACAATTGGGGGCGGCTCCTTTGGCCGAGGCTGGGAGGAGCTGCGGTCCACCGCGGGGTGGGGCAAAGAGGGGCGGGGCCTGCGGTGACACTCCCGACACCCCGCGGTGTCCCCGGACACGTGTTCCTGGTCTGGGGACCCCTTCGGTCCACGTGTTGGGGTCCCCCAGTCCTTACTCTTGACCGGAGCCTTCCCGAGGGTTCCTAACTTCCCCTGACTGGCCGTTCTTCTGGATCCCCAGCTCTCTGAGGCCTTTCAAGTTCTCTGTTGTTTCCCAGCTCTTTGCCTGGTTGAGCTTGGTTATCTCCGTAGCTGTCTTACACTCCTCCTGTTCTGTAGGCACCCCAAGGCTTACATCTCGCCCTGCCAAGCACGAAGCTTCGTAAGTGATGGTTGAAGTAAATCGAAATTTGCTTTCTTACCCCTCGCCCTACTTCTCCATGTACCTGGATGCCTCAGCTTCACCCTCTCTCATTTTTCTCTGGAGTTTTTCTGGTTCATAAAAACCTGGTGTAGCCTAAGGATTTTAAAACCTGTTGCTGTATTCCTGATGCTTTGGGGGAAGGGTGAGAGAGGAATAAGGGGAATATTTACTTTTCCAACAACATTTAATGTAGTCATCCCGACTCGGAGCCCTGCTAGTTACCTTTGTCACAGAAGATGAAAACTAGAAGTAAATAATAGCTTTAAATATAGTAACTAATGAGAGGAGTAAAACGAAGCTTGTCCAAAATTACAATTGGCTTAGTGTGTCTATACAGAATTTTATGGCTTCCAGATTTTGAAGATCACTGATTGGGTTGTGTACAGCTGGCACAGTTCTTATTGTTGTGCACAACTCTTTCCAGAGTGTTGTTGGGGGAAAATGTATTGCCGTGAATAAGTGGAATATTTGTCATAAACCTTTTTTAAAAAAAACTACAGTTCTTCATCTGAACTTGATTGATTTCTCCCCTTTTCAAAGAAGTAGTATGTTTAATAGGATGATGCCAGTTTCATGGATTAACTTGCCCATAAATTTCCAAATCAAATCATTGATTAAAATAAATGTTTATTTTATGGTTTGAGATCCCAGATTCTTTTTTTTATTTTAAAAATAAGTTTATTTATGCCATTTGGTTTTTAATATCACATTCATTTTCTGATATATTCTCCCTCACTGAACCTTTTCTTGTAACAGCTTGGTTAAACCTACATCAATGGACAACACCCATAGTTTACCTCCTTCTGATCCCAGATTCTTTAGGCTTTAATATTTTGTAAGTGGCATGTAGTCGAATGTCTTTTGAGTGACCAATTTTACTTTCTGAAAAGGGCATGTAAAGTTTCTTTCCTATAATGTTAATCAATAGGTTTTAAGGATTTAATGGAATGAAGCACTATCTACAGGCAAGGAGCTTGCATTCTAATAGGGAAGAGAGGTATTTGCATAAATATATACAACAAATAAATGAATAAATAAAAATACATAAAAACCAGTTAAATACAAGGGAATTTGGAAGAGAGAGCATTAGCATTGGGGGAGGGGTCAGATTACTTTTTAATCAGAGAGTAAAGCACTATCTTATTCTTAAACATTGACAGTAGCTACTTAGTTATCCTGGGCAGCTTGGTGACAGTGGATAGAGTGCCAGGCTTGGAGTCAGGAAGACTCATCTTTTAGTTCAAATCTGGCGTCATATGCTTACTAGCTATGTGACCCTGGGCAAGTCATTTACTCCTGTTTGCCTGATTCTTCATCTGTAAAATGAGCTGGAGAAGGAAATGGCAAACCAGTCTAGTATTTTTGCCAAGAAAATCCCAAAAGGGATCACAAAGAGTTGGACATGAGTGAACAATAACATTTAGTTATCCAGGTCATTGTAAAGGATCATTGGCCTGACCTGCCCAACTTGGCCATTGTTATTACTCTGCTCTCAGCAAGGTTTCTGTAATGTCACAGGTATCCCTGGTGGGTTGGTAATCGGGAAGCTACTTATAATATTTTTAATGTCATTTACTTGTAGGAAATAATTTAAATACATTGTTAATTTGCTTTGCTTGTGAAATGGAGACATTTGATCTAATTACAGTCAACTATATTATCAAAGTTAGGCATAACATTGTTACTGTCAACGTGAGATGTAGGGTAAGATAGATGTCTGTACCCAGCTGAGTGTGTATGTTATTCCCCCTTTGAGCCAATTCTGATCAGAGTGAGGTTCAAGCACGTCTCCCCACTTCCCCAATTATCCCCTCCACCGTAAAAGTTCATTTGCTCCTCTTTGAGATAATTTACCCCATTCTGCCTCTCCTTTCTCCCTTCTCCCAGTGCATTCCTCTTTCTTACCCCTTTATTTTTTAGATATCATCCCATCATATTAAACTTACAACCTTACTCTCTGTCTAGGTAGACTGCTAACTGCCTAAATAGTGACAAAGTTCTCTTAGGAGTTAGAAGTATCATCTTTCTATGTAGGAATGTAAACAGTTTAACCTTATTGAATCACTTATGATTTCTCTTTCCTGTTGACCTTTTTATGCTTCTCTTGAGTCTTGTATTTGAAAGTCAGATTTTTTACTCAGCTGTATTCTTTTCATTGGGAGTTCTTGAAAGCCCTCAATTTCACTAAATGTCCATTTTTTCTCCTGAAGGATTGATTATACTCAGTTTTGCTGGGTATACTATTCTTGGTTATAATCCTAGTCTTTGTCCTCCAGATTATCATATTCCAGGACCTCCAGTCTTTTAATGTAGAAGCTGCTAAAAATTATGTTATCGTGACTGTGGCTTCATGATATTTGAATTGTTTCTTTCTAGCTTCTTGCAATATTTTCTCATTGACCTAGAACTTTGGAACTCCTGGGAGTTTTCATTTTGGGATCTCTTTCAGTTGGATTCTTTCAATTTCTGTTTTACCTTCTGGTTCTAGAATATCAGGGCAGTTTTCTTTGATAATTTAGTGAAATATGACATATAGGCTCTTTTTAAAAAATCATGTCTTTCAGGTGGTCCAGTAATTCTTATATCTCTCCATGATTTATTTTCCAGGTCAGTTGTTTTTCCAATGAGATATTTCACATTTTCTTCTATTTTTTCATTCTTTTAATTTTGTTTTTATTGTGTGTTGATATCTCATGAGGTCATTTGTTTCCACTTGCCCAATTCTAATTTTTAAGGAATTATTTCTTCATTATATTCTGAGCTTTTGTACTTTTCCATTTGGCCACTTCTACTTTTTAAGAAGTTTTTTCCTTCTGTAAATTTTTCTAACTCTTTTAGCATTTGGCCAATTTTGTTTTTTAATAAAATCTTCTCTTGAGTGAATTTTTGTGTATCTTTTTCCATTTGGCCAATTCTGCTTTTAAAGGAGTTCTTTTCTTCAGTGAATTTTTTGTGCTTTTACCATTTGGTCTATTCTATTTTTAAGGTGTTATTTTCTTCAGTATTTTTTGTGCCTCCTTTACCAAGCTGTTGACTCTTTAAAAAAAATACACACACACACACACACACACACACACACACACACACATATCATGCATCACTCTCACTTCCTTTTCCATTTTTCCCCTATCTTATTTGATTTTTAAAACCCTTTTTGAGCGCTTCCAGGAATTCTTTTTGGTCCTGAGACCAATTCACATTTTTCTTTGAAGCTTTGGATGTAGCAGTTTTGACTTTGTTGTTTTCTTTGTTGTTTTCTGTGTTTTGATCTTTTCCCTGTCACCATAGTAACTTTCTGTGGCTGGGTTATGTTGTTGTTTGCTTATTTTTCCAGCCTATTTCTTGATATTTAACTTTATGTTAAAGTTGGGCTCTGCTTTTTGGGTAGAGGAGGAACTGCCCCAAGTTTCAGGTTTTTTGTGTAGCTGTTTTCAGAGCTAGTGTTGGAGGAGTCTGTTAAATTTTCAGTTCTTCCAAGTGGTATGCTATAAGGAGAGGTATATTTACTATTCTCCTGGCCTGTGCTCTAATTTGTGAGCGACCACAAGCATTCTTTTCTGCCCTGGAACTGTGTCCGGGGTCCCTGCTTCTGCTAGCACTCCTCCTTTCTGTGTGACTTGTGACCTGGAACTGCATTTGGACAGTGCAACAGAGTTGTGCACATGGTGGCAGGAAGGGGTCCCCTGTAATCTTCTGACAGGTTGTCCCCCTCTTTACCATCTGTCTGTGGGATGAGAGCTCCAGAAATCACCTCTGTGAGTCAGTCGTCCCTGACACCTGCACTGGCTTGCTGGAGACTAGTGTGCTGCTGTCTTGCCTCGATACCTGCACTCTGTTCTCACCCTGTGTGACAGACCCTTCCTGATAACCTTCTAAGGTGTCTTGGGCTGGAAAATTGTTTCACCCTGTCCTTTAGTGGGTTCTTCTGCTCCAGAATTCTGTTTTGAGACATTATTTAAAGTTGTTTGAAGAAGAATTTGGGAGAACTCAGGGTGAGTTCCTGGCTTTTCTCTGCCATTTTGGCTCTGTCCCCTGGGAACAGTACTCTTAAACTTAATTTTGCCTTTTAAATTGTTTATACTTTTGTAAAAACTCTACTTAAACTAGAAAGAAGTAGTTTTGATGATTCCTTGAATTTAGTTAACTCTACAGATTATGAAAGAAATTTTGGAGGTCATTTTTAAATTTCTGTACTTTTGAAGTGCAAAACAAAATAATTTTGATTACTATATCTGTGTATGTGTATATATATGTAAAATCAATGATATGTACTTTTAAAAAATGAATTTGTTGAGTCATTTTAAATTTCTTTTGGTTTAACATATATTTAGGAGGAACCCTTAGAATAAATTTATAACCTTCCATGTAACTGTATTTCAGATGAGTGGGAAGTAGTGCAAGAATAGGTCAAGTTAACTTTGCTGGAATATTTTTTTTAATACAGTATTTTCTTCTATGTTAATAATGAGGATTATAAATAACTTACTTGTATATGGAAAAAGA